CTCGGCAGGGGGAGCCTCTCGGTTGCCAGGGGCTCGGGCCCGTTACTGTTAGTGATTCGTGGGTTCCAAAGAGGCAAATAAACTGGGCCTTGCCGTCCCGTGCGAGCCCTGGGCAGGGCGGTAGGAGCAGGTGCATGAGGCACGTTTTTTTGTTGGATCATTTTCTGTCGGTGCCAGAGTCAGTCTTTCCAGCTGCACACGGCTCTTTTTCAGGTCTGGGAAAGGCACTCAGAGGGTCACGGCTAAATACCAGGGTCAATACATTGTTGAGCATAAATAGTTAATTTATTTGCCGTCCCGTGCGAGCCCTGGGCAGGGCGGTAGGAGCAGGTGCATGAGGCACGTTTTTTTGTTGGATCATTTTCTGTCGGTGCCAGAGTCAGTCTTTCCAGCTGCACACGGCTCTTTTTCAGGTCTGGGAAAGGCACTCAGAGGGTCACGGCTAAATACCAGGGTCAATACATTGTTGAGCATAAATAGTTAATTTATATTTTAAGGGACTGCATCCAAAGAAGTGGCATCTCAGTATCCTGTAGCTTTAGGACACAAAGGAGGCATTATTGGGTATCAGGTTGTTGTAATAAGCCGTACATGCAGTGTTTCCCATTTGGTCAATGTTCTTTGGTGCCTAGTAAAATTATTAATTTAAATGTCTAGGCTTATCTTTTGAAGGTGTTGTGTAGGTTTCTTTTGAGCTCAAGGACTGGTAAGTCAGATATAGAGTGATCACTTTGTGAAAAGTGTTCACTGGCAGCCATTGTGCTCCTGGTTCCACTCCCAGGGCGCAGTGTAGAGTGGTAGTAGCCCCTATCCTTGTGGAGCTCAGTCCCCCCCCCATGAACAGAGAGACTGCACCAGAAGATGCAAAGCAGCCTCCTCTCCCCTTGCCCAACCCCGCAGCTGCTGCCTTTGATAGAGGCATCAGCACAGAGCAGCTGGTTCTCCTCTTCCCCCCACACCTCCTGTTGCCTCTGATGCAGCAGGGGTGGAGGTAATGATAGTAGTTGACAAAATTAACCAATAAGATGAGACTTATCAGTTAATCATAGTCGACTACACATTGACATCTCTAGTGGGGTCTAGGGATGTAAAATCCTGTTTAATTAGTTAACCGGTTAAATGTTAAGCTTAACCAATTAACGGATTAAATGGGGGTGGACTGCTTCCAGCCTTGTGTGGGGCTACTAGCTCCCAGCCTGCACGAGGCCAGAAGCAGCAGTAGTCCTGTGTGGGGCTGGCAGAGCCACTGCGGCTTCTGGAGTCATTGTGGTTGGGAGGGCTGCTCTCCAGATACCGGTTGCCCATTACCCTGTAAGCATCATCAGTAACTGATTACCCATTAACAACCCTAGCAGGGTCTGGTGCTGTTTTGATTTGGTGTGTCTGATCTATAGGGAGCTGTCTTCTGATGAGTTCAGAGAGATTTATGGAAAGTGTTGTGGGAGTTTGAATGCCAAAAGAGGAGTTTCAGAAAAGATTTCTTTCAGGGTGGGATACCCATTGAGTATGGGTTGTAACTGTTTGATATCTCCATATGGGTTTCACTGTGTGGTACATAACTAGGGGTGTGAAGTTTTTAAGGGGCTTCTTTCTGTATTAAAGCAGAAATTGGGGGCATGTAGGCAACCCATTCACTGTTATGATCTACTTCCCTGATGAAATGTCTGTGTTTGGTGAAGGAATTTTTGACTGTATAAAAGTATGTATCTTGGACTTTCTCCTCAAAGCATATTCTGTGGTAACCAAGTGACCGGCTGTAGATAAGATTTCTGGCTATGCTTGGGGTGGTTAAAGGATCTGTGAAGGTAAATGTGGTGATTTGTAGGTTTCTTATACGCAGCTGTCTGTCGGTTTCTACTGTTGAAGCTGATCATGATGTCTAGGTCGTTAGTGCTGGTGTGAGAGATTTCCAGAGAGAGTGTAATGGATTGGTGGTGGGTGTTGAAGTTGTGGTAGCAGTTTGAGCAAGTTTGACTTCTGTCCAGAGCATGAGAAGATAATCAATGTGTTCAGGTATATCATTGGTATTATGGTATAGCTCAAAAGCTTGTCTTACCAACAGGAGTTGGTCCAGTAAAAGATATTACCTTATCTACCTTGTCCTTCTGATATCCGAATACTCGCATGGCTTCAACAACACTGCATGCATGTACTGAAAGTGCAGCAATTGTTAAATGAGATCTGGACCCTTTGACTAGAGGATGTTCTTTCATAAAAATAACTTATGGGGCATGATGAAGGTGTACCTGTGTTAAGTTTTGTGGCCTATGCACAGTGTTCCCTCTAACATTTTCTATGCGGAAGAAAATATATTAAAACAAGTGACAGCTAAAAAGGAGCAACGCTTACATTATTTAATATGAAAACAAAAAAGAACACTACCCTTGGAGTATATGTATCATCATCCTTTCTAACAACTCAAGCTAGTAACCACACCAAAATGCGTATTATCCACACGTAGCTCAGCTTTAAGATGCCAAACAAATCTATGAATTGACTAGAAATAATATTTGCAAGGAGAGTATGACTAGTACAATATTTACTGACACTTTAAAGGAGAATAAAAGGCATTCACTAAGGCTTATACAGTTTCTCTGGGGAATGTTTAGGATCCATATTATGCAAGAACAAGTAGGAGACCTGTAAACACAAATAAGTTCTCCTGTTTTGAAACTTTCACCTTGTATGTGTCAACAGCTCAAGGAGTAGAAGCCCCAGAACAAATTAACACATGGCTTCAGGGTTTGTAGACAGATGCATGTTTCAAATAGCTTGCAAATAAGGTTTCATCCTACAAAACAACTAGCATCTCACCTACTACTTGCTACTTCTTACGCATAAGAGCCAGAACCCTACCACATAGCAAAGATCTGGCCTTAATGCAGCACAATATACCTTTTATTAATTAGTAAGACAAGATTTAAAAAATAATAAAGATCAGAGTTTTAGATATCTGCAAAACTCCAAAAAATTCTGTTAAAATAATCTTTTTCTTTCTTATCATACGCCAGTTTTAGTTTGTAAACTTTGTTTGAAGTGTCGTCATGCAAATGTCCTCACATACCCACACCCCCCTTACAGCCTGCTTTCTTCCTCTCTCCACCCCATCCAATCCATCCAGCCAGAGAGGACTTCAGTAAATGAGTCAGGGTACCCCAAACAAACTGCACCCTGCCTCCTCCTCTCTGCACAGATGCCAACATCCACCCACCTTATTTCCCCCCACCTACCCTTCTGCAGACTGTTCCTCCCAGCCCAGGCAGGGGCTGGAATAAAATCCTGCTTCTCAAACTTTTAGGCACAAACAGCCTACAGGACACACAGCACAATCCCCTTCCCCAACCTCACTTCAGTGCCAGCACTCCCCCACTCCTCTTTCTCCCCCACCTATCCCATGCACTCAGCCCCTTACCTCCCTCTTCCCAGCTCAGGAGGCTTGAGACAAGTGCTGAGTTTCTGCCTCTCTCTTCTTATGCAGATGGGACTCTCCAAACTCCTCTCCCCTCTGATTCTCCCCCAGCCAATTACTCACTCACTCACTCCTCCCCCCCAACTTATTTCCTCCGTATCTCCCCTCCTTACCTGCTCTGGGAGCTCCTTCATTTCAATCACACAGCAGCTCTGTTTGAAGCTGCTGCTTAGCAAGATGCCCCTCCACCAGCTGGTCAGCTGAGCTCCCGCCTGTGTGGGAGCTCTGAACGTGGCTCAGAATACAGCTGTGTAGCCACATAGCCTACAGGGAAATTTGCCTGTGAGTTACAGTAGTCCAAAGTAGATCAGCAGTTTTCAACCTTGTTTCATTTGTGGATTCTTAAAAAATTTCAATTGTAGGTGCAGATGTCTTTGGAAATCTTAGATGTAGTCTGTGGACAACAGGTTGAGAACCACTGGACTAGATGATTAAGTGATTTCATGTGGCCTTAAAATCTATTTTAGGTAGGAGTTACCTCACTTTATTTTACTACACGTTTATAAAATGTCAGATTTTTTTTAAAAAAATTATTATGCAAGGACAGAACCTCTGACTATACAAGGTGGACACTTGTGTGGAGTCCCTGTGAAGTTAATGAGTAACATAAGCTTGGACTCCTTTAAACGGCTAGAGACAATGATATGAATGTGTGAGTCAGACGCTCAGAAAACTGACAGAATTTTTATGGTCAATATAGTAATTATCCCTGAATTGTGAAAACAAATGTATGGTATTTTATAATAACTATATAATAGGTCCATCAGCCTGGTATTATCTCCAGTTCCATAACCACTGTCCTATTTGATCATAGAAAACTGCAGAAGAGGACTGGGGTTCTATCTTCCTGCCACTCAGAACCAAAGAACACCTCTATTTCTTTGCTTCGTGCTCCATAGAATGAAGAGACTAAGTCACAAGAGGCCACGCAACCTCACAAATTAATGAGGGAGATAGTTGCCAAAGGTAGGATGTGGTTGGGGAAAGAGGGTGGGTTCTATTATAGGTGGATGGCTTAGAGCTCCCCAGAAGTCAGTACCAGTCACGTGGAACCTAAAATGATAATATTGCTATAGCATGAAGGTCTTAAGCCCTGCTTCTTTGCATACTTGGCAATAATTTTTTTTCACTGTTTTAGGTAATGAGCAGGCCCAAATCTACAGACTGAATGGCTACCAAAAGGATAGATTTCTGAACTTTTTCTAACTATGGCTTGCAGAAGAATAGGAGGCCACGGAGGCACTCTCCCTCCAGCTTCCTCCATGAACTGTGTAAAATCCCAAGCACCTGAAATTCGAACACATAGTATATGTATGGTATCTGATTTTTTTTATCCAAATATGGGAGGAGTGGAAAGTCACATCTACCAACTATCACAGTGCCTGATTGAAAGAGGACACAAAGTTATAATTGTCACCCATGCTTATGGAAACCGAAAAGGCATTCGTTATCTCACCAATGGTCTGAAAGTTTATTATTTACCTTTGAAGGTCATGTACAATCCTGCCTCTGCTCAGGTACATATTTGTGCGGGAGAGAGTCACCATAGTCCATTCCCATAGTTCGTTTTCTTCCATGGCACATGATGCACTCTTCCATGCCAAGACAATGGGACTACAGACAGTTTTTACAGACCATTCTCTTTTTGGATTTGCTGATGTCAGTTCGGTGCTTACAAACAAACTTCTAACTGTGTCACTATGTGATACAAACCACATCATTTGTGTCTCCTACACTAGCAAGGAAAACACTGTACTAAGAGCAGCACTGAATCCTGAGATAGTGTCTGTTATCCCCAATGCTGTTGATCCCACTGACTTCACTCCAGACCCAAGTAGGAGGGATGATAATACAATAACTGTTGTTGTTGTCAGCAGGCTTGTTTACAGAAAAGGTAATGAGGTTCAAACTGTAAGTTACTTTTCAAATATTTTTTCTCATTTTTCAAATGGGTGGTAAGAAATGTTCATTGTTTAAGTAATTGAATACAGATGCCATATCTGTGCCCAATTGAAAACACACTGAATCTGAAACAGTTGTTTCACTCTTTTCCCTCTGTCCACTTGCATGTGTTATGTCTAAGGGCCTGATCCTAAGGGGTTTAACTCCTGTTAACCTCACTGGAACAGAAGCTGTCCTTGAATAGCCAACCCTGTGAGTCACTAGCAGTTGTCGTGGAGTCAAAGGTCTTGTTGCCAGTCCCTTGAGCATGACCGCTGTAGTGTGCCAGGTCCTAAGGATCTACACCAATGGTTCTCAAACTGCAGTGGTCTGTGGCTACCTTCCAGGTGGTCCGCGGCTTGAGTTCAGCCCCTCCTCCACCCTTCCTTTCTCCTTCTCTCTCTGCAGCAGGGAGCCTGTGCTGGTGCTCTAGCTTCGCCCGCCCCCTGTGAAGTTGGAGCATCAGTGCCAGTTTCTTTTTGGGGGGGGGTTGGAGAAAACTCTGCACCTCCTTGCCGGATCCGGTTTGTGGGGAAGAAGTGGAATCGTAAGCAGCTCTGTGTGCTGCCACTTCCTCCCCCAGCTGGGAAACAGCAGCGCATAGATGCGCTGCCTGGAAGCTTTCCCCCCTGCTCCCATTGGCTGGAATGCAGCCAATGGGAGCAGCAAGGGGCCATGCCTGGGAATGGTACTTGGAAATGATGAAGGGCATGAAGGCAAGTAAGTGCCCCCAGCCCTCATATGCAGACCGTGCATCCCCATCCCCTTCACACACCCCCGCTGAGACCTCAGACTCCCAGCTTACTCCTGCATCTCGCCTCCACTTCCCCCTGGCTGAACACCATACCCCCAGCTTACTCCTACATTCTCCCTGGCTCCTGTACCCTCCCCCCTGGCCAGACACCCTTCCCCCAGCCTGCTCCTGCACCCTCCTTTCTGGCCACACAAACACTACATTTTCCCTTGCTCTTGCCCTCGTCTATCAGGCCAGACACCCTACCCCCAGCCTGTTCCTGCACCCTACCTCCCATCCAGGCCTCGCACCCTGACCCCCACCTCCTGCCCAGACCTCGCACCCTCCCTCCCTCCTGCACCTCACCTCCTGCCCAGATCCTGCACCCCCATCCCCATCTCATTTGCTGACAACCCTGTCCTGCACACTGAACCCCTCATTTTTTTTCCCCATCCAGAACCTAACGGTGTCCACAAAATCCACTAACCCCAGAAGAGTAAACTGGCAGGACTCTTGTTATATTTCAAAGGTGGAGGTGCCCTAATTGAATAGTTGATTGATCTAAATTGAACATCCTTAGTGAGACTATCATCCATTGGCTTCATTGGATCTACTCATGTGACTAGAGTTGCAGGGTTGAATCTTTGCTTTTTGCTTTCTAGCTAACTATATGCATATCTCAATTGTGGCAGTTAAGATTTTGGTGTCTTCTGTAGTAACTTTGTATAAAGATGAAACTGGTTATATCCTTAAAATAATGTTAGTTTGAGAACCTACATTTGCTTTAGATTTCTTTTGACAAGGAGTGTCTTTTTTTAAGGTGCTAAGCAAAAAGGATATGTAATTTAAACATTTCTTATACCCTTGCATTCTGGTACTCTATTCTGCTAGTTCATTGGTTTTAATATTTTAATATCCACTAATGCAACCATCTGTCAGAGCCCTCAGGTTTTGACATGTGTGAATGGTGTTATAAGAATAGACGGTGTCAGAAAGATAAGCTCTACACACTAAGTACAATAATAATTTTTCTATATTTTGTATTTTTAGGTATAGATTTGCTCAGTGGTATAATTCCTGAACTTTGCCAGAAATATTCAAATATACATTTCTTAGTTGGAGGAGAAGGACAAAAGCGAATTGTTTTGGAAGAGGTACGAGAGAGATTCCAACTACATGACAGGTTTGTTCTGTGTTTGTGATTGCCATGTAATTATAAAAAAGAATATGGTGCAAAAATGAGGGTGAGGAGAGAAGTGAGTTGGGACACAGATAAAACAAGGGAATAAGCACATTCTTGCAAACTTGCACCCTGATTCTGCAAGTTGATTTGTTCAAGTAGACCTGTGTTATGCCCCATGATCTCTGCACAGGCATAAAGATCTATCCATGGAGATCCAGTTGCATGATTGGGGTGGTAGAGTCCTCTCCCTCACAAGAAATATCATACAGTGAAATAAGAGGTTCATGGTTAAGCAGCTGATTTGCTATGACTGCTGCTTATCAAGATGACCTGTGCTATTTTATTTTGCTTCCCCCATCTGATGGGTACGCAGATGGGGGAAGCAAAATAAAATAGCAACAAATGGAGACTATTTGTTAGGAACTATTCACTCGCAGCTGGGTCAAATTTATGCTCACAAATGATTATTTCCAATTCATCTTGTTTATTACCTAAATTCCTATCATTCATGTATATTATTTTTTGTTTGCATATACCTTAATTTTATTTTTGGCACGTTGATCTTGTGCTAAATGAGTTTTTGTTTGCATATACCTTAATTTTATTTTTGGCATGTTGATCTTGTGCTAAATGAGTTAGCATTTCTTCTTCCTTACACTAATAACAAAAAGGTAAGGGGGAGAAACACCTTCCTATATTAGTGTAAGGAAGAAGAAATGCTAAGGGGGAGAAACACCTTCCTGGCTCATCTAGTCAGTGAATTCTTAATTGGTGCTCGTAGGCGCTATCGTATTAAAACGAGTAATAAATTGAAGTAGGATCTGTTTCCATAGAATATATTGGTGTGAGTCGGCTCCTCCTTTTTGGAGGATAGGGCAAGAGAGCTTGCTTTTCTATTAGACAACAATATGGGTTTCTAGTTCATTATTTATTCATATACCATCAAGCAGTAAAAAAAACTTAAGGGATTTTTGTACTGTCTCAAAAATTTAGTGGTTTAAAACAAGTCAGTGTATATGAACACATCATGTTCCCTGTGTGCCACCATTCCATTCCCCTCTTTCAAAATATTCTCTTCAAACCCATTCTGCATGCCCTCCCTCCTAGCAGAGGACTCCTTATAACCTGGCTCACCTTCCCTCGTGGCTGGGGCACAGAGCTCTCCTACTCAGGTCTACCATTCCCATACCAGGGGTTCTGTGTGTGCCCTCCCTTTCTGACTTTATTTCATTTCTCTCTGAGGGAGAAAAAAATTAGGGTGTCAGCATGTTTCCATTCCGTTTTTTCTATTTTTTCTATTCCTCCCTCCCCCCAGGGTTCTTCCTGTTAATGGCTAGAACATTCCCTGAATTTGATTACATGTTATGCTGAAAAGTTACTGTTTGGCCAACATATATGAAAAAACAATAGGTATTTTGTTTCTTTTTTTATAGTGTACACATGCAGGACATGCTTTCCTAAATACTCTTACTAGAAATGTGATAGCTGGGTTATCTATTACAGACTTCAAATATCTGGTTGTTAATTAACCAGAAGAAGCCATTCTGATTTCTTTCATGTGATTTTCAGAAAAATATTTTCAGAATATTTCCTCTCTTGCATTTAATGTGTGACACAAATTTCAAAGGCTGAAAGATTTTTTTTTAAAATAAATAATGACTTGAAGGGTCTCTTGTCAGTTATGTAACAACCTTCTGAGTAACAGGGGTCTTGAACTTCCCCTAAATTAATCCATGCTTCATCCTCTGGCCATTGTGATCTTTCCTGTATACTTTATAATCAGGGATTTTAACATTTCAAGCACGCAGATCTTCACACCAGATATCAGTAATATCAGCTAGGTCAAATTTATGTTCATAAAGGATTACTTCCAATTTATCTTGCTTATTATCTAAGTTCCTATCATTTGTGTATATTTTTTCTCTGCATATACCATGATTAATTTTATTTTGATACCTTAATCTTGTGCCAAATGAGCTGGTATTTGTTCTCTCCCACCACCACCACCTTTTTATTATTAATTTAACACCTTCATGACTAGTGTAGCCATCGTGTCCCCTAGAAAATGGAAGTCATCCAAAATGTATGGCCCCCTCTCCGCAGAGAAGGTGGTCCAGTTTTCCACAAAACCCTTTACCTAATGCCACTTAAATAGCCAGTGGTTCACTTTCAAAATCTTCTGTTTGTTGTTTTCCTTTACTCAGGAGACTTCCTTCCTCTCCTTCAACACCTTTCCAAGTTTTCTGAAGTCATTTATAATCCAAGTTATCACATGCAGCAGTGTCATTAGTGAAGATATGCACCATCACTAATGGAGTCTTGCTCATCTAATCTTGCATTCACATCTGCTGTCTTGGCTTTCGGAAGACTGCCTGTCATCCTGTTGTCTGCCTGTCCCTGCAGAATGTTGTTCCCGTTCTGTAGCATAGAATCACAGACAAGATGTTTGGAGATCTTTGTGAGCATATGACATTTTCTTAAGGGTTGGGATGAACAGCCGTTTTCAGGTATACCCTCTACAGCTGACCATTCTTTTTGACTGTCTAAAACTTTAGAAGTTTCAGAGGGGTAGCCAAGTTAGTCTGTAACAGGAAAAACTTAAAAAACAACAAATAGACAAGTAGCATGTAATGGTATCATTAGCTTTCTGTCATCTGAAGAAATGTTAATACTCGTGTCATCTGAAGAAGTGGGCTGAGCCCACGAAATCTCATGATACCATCTGCATATTTTGTTAGTGTTTAAGGTGCTACTAGTCTATTTGTTGTTTTTGAATCTTTAGATACTTTGTTTTTTTAAAAAAGTCCATGCTAAGAATCGGGTAATGATTGGATTTTTCTAGCTGTATGGATTTCCATGTGGTCCTTGCTTGAGTGGTCACACAGTGTTCATCTTCTTTACCCTCTAGCTGTGTAGAATGCCACTTTGTCCTCTTGAGATTACAAAATGCCAATACTGGGCATGTCTATGCTCACAGAAGATTGACCTTCTGGAGGTCAACCTTCTAATGTTTGATTTAGCAGGTCTAGTGTAGACCCCCAAATTGAATGCTGAAGGTGTAGCTCCTCATACTGTGAGGAATAAGGGAAGTCAACGGGAGCATTTGCTCCCGTTAGCCTCCTGCAGTGTAGACGCTGTGGCAGCTTGGCTTAAGGTAAGCCAAATCCAGTTATGTATTTTGTGTAGCTGATGGCATACCTTAAGTCAGGCATGGCCAACCCGCGGCTTGCGAGCCACATGTGGCTCTCCTCCTCCCTCCCCCCCCATCACTGTGGCTTGCAAAGCTGCCCCTGCCTCCTGGCTCCCATGTGCTCACCGGGGCAGGGGAGCCATCCGGATCCAAAATTGCGGCTCCAAAATGGAGGCCGCAGACGGGAGCCTGCTGAAGCCAGAAAGCTGTTGGATCCAAAATGGCTCCTGGTAGCATCTGTGGATGCCTGCTGAGACCAAAAAGCCTTCTTAAAGGGCCAGTCTTCTTTTCTCTACCCTTTTTTTTGCCCCGGCTCTTCACGCTGCATCCAGCTGGATCTTGGTTCTTCATCCGGAACGAGTTGGCCACCCCTGCCTTAAGCCAACCTGTCTGGTCTAGTGTAGACCAGATCCCAGGGTACTTTCTCTTCTTTCTGGTTACTTGGTCACAAAATTCTTCTTGAACTTGGGGTGATGATGCTTTCAGAGTCTGGTTATCCAGGTACTCAGCCTCTCAGATATATAGTGTCAATACCTGTGCTTCCAAATCGTGAATCTTTTCTTCCAGCACAGCCACCAACTTGCACCTCAAACAAAGTCTCTCTTGCTTCAGGCAGAAAAGAAAATATGGCATATCTGTTTTAGGTCATAGCTACTTTCCCATTGCTCACCATAACAACTGAACATAGAACCATACCTAGAAACAGAATCTTTCACTCTCCCTGCAAGCTCCCCTGTTTGCTGCACTTATTTGAACTCGGGCAAGTGATAAATGTGGCATTTTAACCATATAACACATCTTCCCTTCTTAACCTAGAAAACACAGTAAAAATGTTTTAAAGGCAATTACCATAAAACTCAGTTTTTCATACTGTTTGGTTTTTTCTTTAAAAGCTAAATATGGAGGCTTATTTTTTTTTTAAATCAAGGTTTAAAGAAATTGGAATAAGACAGTGTCAACTGTGCTTTAATACAGTATTGTGTATGCTATAAAATGTTCCAAAATATTTGGGTAATGTTTTGTAGCATTATTACAGTATGTGAAACCTGTATTTATCTTTTTCTTTAACTGTGGGCAGAGTGCGTCTTCTAGGGGCTTTGGAACACCAAGATGTTAGAAATGTTTTGGTCCAGGGACACATTTTTCTCAATACTTCTCTCACTGAAGCCTTCTGTATGGCAATTGTGGAAGCAGCCAGTTGTGGTTTACAGGTAAAAGAATCTTTGTTGTATATAGAATGCATGCATACATATTTTTACAGTGCTTCATAATACATGCTCATAACAGAGCATTTCATAGGAGGATCTATAAATGATCTACCAAGATTGGCAGATATTAATTCACATTTCCACATGCTCTGGAAACTGAGACAGAGCGATTAACTGATTTGCTTAGCTCCCGGAGGAAATTCATGAAGAGTAGGGAATAGTGTACAGGTCTCCTAGAACACAGTTCTCTGAAGTGACCAAACTGCCTCTTCAAAATGCTGTTCTGTATGTGCTTTTGAAAGAGTTTTTGGCTATTTAATTCTCTGACCATGGATGACTATATCTGTTAGACCTTTGCCTCTATCTTCCATCAGCAATAGGTAATTGACGAAAAATATTTGGTGACCGTGACTGACCTTTGGTAATTCGTGTAGCCTTGACTAAGCCATTGTTCTTTGGCTGACTCAAGAACTGACAGTCATTTTCTCAGTCAGTTGAGAAAGTATTTACTCTATGTAGAGATTTCACATAAAGAGGAAAAACTAAAACAAATCAAACTGGAACATTTTTGGTGGAATCCCTTGCTGCTTGTATATTTTTGTGAGTGTTAGTGCTGTAAGGGTGAAAAAACAACTGAGCGGAATCAGTGTTATCAGAGATTACATTCCCAAGGAATATTTTAAATATAGAAACTGTCATGAGCATAGACATTTTTGAGAGAGAAATTGATGGTGACTGGAATGATGGTGACTGGAACCCTCTCCATCAATCAATGATGATAGATTCTTCCTGCTAGCCTCCCCGCTCTCTTCGGTCACTAGTTGTATTACCCATTCCCTTTCCATTTGCTTCTTAGAGTGAGTGCTTTAATTTTCTTATTGTTGCCTAATAACAATAGACTTGACAAGAATTTATGTTCTGCTTACTTTTTAATCTTCAACTTTTTTTTAAAGAAATTAGTATTGCAAAACTTTCAAATATAGCTCAAAAGTATGTGTGGGAAATAAAACAATCCCTGCCTAAAATTAGCCTACTCTATGTAGAGATTTTCCCTCCTTTTCCCTTAGGGACTAAGGGCAAGAGACGAGGCAATTGAAAGGGAATCCAAGCCTGATTATATATAATCGTTTGAATATTGTGATAGATACCTTTAGGAAAGATAATTCCTTTCTTTGAAAAATTCTTTTGTACATCGTCCTTTCTTCTGCACGCATGGCTCTTTGATACCCAAATACTGATTCTGAATATCACACAGCTAAGCTACAGCACTATTCTAGGGCCCAGACCTACAGTTGGCATGCAGATGAAACACTTTTTGAAGTTATTTGATGTTGTGCCTGGAAGGCACTTGCAAGGTTGGATCCTTTGGTTTAATCTAAAGTATTCCTATTGAACAGTTTTCTTATTATCAGGATAGCTGTATTTTAGTGATTACGTGGGTTTTATCCACAAAAGCTCATGATTCTATATATTTTTGTTAGTCTGTAAGGTGCCACAGAACTACTTGTATTTTAGTGAGTTACACATGCTACTTAATTGTTTTGTTCCCTCCAAAGGTTGTGAGCACAAGAGTTGGTGGAATCCCTGAGGTGCTACCAGAAAATCTTATCATCTTATGCGAGCCCTCAGTGAAATCTCTGTGTGATGGTCTAGAAAAAGCTATTGCCCGGATCAGGTCAGGAACACTACCAACCCCAGAAACTATCCATAACCAAGTAAAGACATTCTATACATGGAGGAATGTCGCAGAGAGAACAGCAAAAGTATGTAGACCTCTACTTCTGACTGTCTTAGAATGATTTTACCCTGAAAAATGACAGTACAAATAGTGTTGTAAGATTCTGTGTTTTATTTCAGTGATTTTCATATCAAATGTGCATAGTTTATGGGACCACAGGAAACTTGACCACATTTATAATAAGTGGACTTTCAGCTAACTAAAATTATGCCAGACCACAGATGTTGGACTAAAGAGGTTCAACTTGTATTATATTAGTAATTCTTGAAAATTTATTTGTATTAAGAAAGCTGTAGAAGATCCCATTCCTATTCACCCACTAACTACATGCACAAACACTGGAAGGATGAGCAAAGAATCTTTGTGCTGTAAGTCAGGTAGTTAAATGTCAAAATTATTTTTGGTTTTTCCTATTATAAAGAAAAATAAGATTTCTGATCAAACACACTGGCAGTACTCAATATTCCCAAAAAAGTAAATATTTTTTCCTTCAATTACCAAGACTGTAAATTCACACTACAACTAGGAAATCAGACTGAATTATTTGTGTCATGCACCATTACCATCAATAAAGATTCTAAAATGCAAATAGTATTTCAGTTATATCTGTGCAACCCCGTTGTTTTTAGTTGGTTTGTGCACATGTAATTGAAATTGCTTGACCCTGCAATTGAAAAAGGTACTGAACTAATCTGATGCATGAGAAAGAATAGAATCTGTGTCTTTTGGCTCTGCCAGATTAACGGAAGTAAAGGTTAGTGTCTGCAATAAAGATCTTAATGTCTCCAGTTAAGGATATGTCAAATAAGAAGTTGCCATGTTTTCACAGCTACTTATCAGAGTCAAACTGTACTTTGTGATTATAGAGGTTAGTTTGGTATAGATATTAGGGAAGAGTTAAAAACGGGACTCTAAACAAAAGAGGTAAATGTTGGTATGAGTAAGAGTCATTTTCAAACATTAAACAATACATTTTTTCTATAGCTAAGTTCACTTTATCTCTGAAATAGCTGTAGCATGATGCATCCAGTTTTCAAAGACATGGCTTTTGTGCTATTTGAAAACATCTGTTGATCTGTGCATTGTATGTATGTATTGTGCTGCCCTATACTGTAATATAGCATCATTCCTTTACTAGCAGTTTTGAATAATAGTACCCATTAAAAAGAAAGTAACATTAAGTAACTTAGTATTTTCAAGCCTGTACTATTACAGGTTGAACCTCTCTAGTTCAGCACCCTCAGGCCCTGACTGGTGGTGAACTAGAGAATGTGTTGAACCCTAGGAGGTCAGTATTGTCTAGCGGCATTACCAACACTTCCACTGGGTTCTTAAAAGACATTTAGAGGATAAATTAGAGATAAATAACAACACAGAACACTGAAAGCCAGGACCAGTGACTGTAAACAACTTTATGGGACCACAGGAAACTTGACCACATTTATAATAAGTGGACTTTCAGCTAACTAAAATTATGCCAGACCACAGATGTTGGACTAAAGAGGTTCAACTTGTATTATATTAGTAATTCTTGAAAATTTATTTGTATTAAGAAAGCTGTAGAAGATCCCATTCCTATTCACCCACTAACTACATGCACAAACACTGGAAGGATGAGCAAAGAATCTTTGTGCTGTAAGTCAGGTAGTTAAATGTCAAAATTATTTTTGGTTTTTCCTATTATAAAGAAAAATAAGATTTCTGATCAAACACACTGGCAGTACTCAATATTCCCAATACTTTTGTAGTCAGGAAAAATAATCTTTTCATTATTTATCATCACATTGATGGATCAGTGAATAGAGTTTGCATCTGGATTGGTAGATTTTCATTGAAAGTTAGGATTTTCAATTAAAATAACTTGTTAAATAGCAAAGTGTCTGATCTTTTTTTTAACCCCACTAAGCTCTTTGTCTTCGTGATCTCGTGTGATGACCAGTTCTGCAATCTAGTTTAATGAAGTTGGGAAAGTATTTCCTTTTCATCAGTTTTAAATTTGTTACCTTTCTGTTTACTCTCGTATTACAAGAGATTATACGTTACTATTTAGCCTTTCTCTCCTCTGTGCCATTCATTATAAAGAAGGGTGGGCAATATATGACTTCCAGGCTCGATCTAGCCTGCCTAACCTCTCTGTCTGGCCTACAGCACAGTGCAGTGCTCACGCAGGCTGCCTTCCTGCCATAGCCCCATGTCATGATTCCATGCTGTTCTGGGAAGCAGCCAGCTGCTGCTGCCATGTCTCTGTGAGCCCCTGATGGGGATAGAAGATGACAGCAGGTCTCAGTGTGCTGCCAGTGTGTGTCTTTCCGGGCACAGGCAGTTCATGGAAACTCAATGCCCTCCTCCCCTCAAGGGATGCATGGAGACATGCCAGCAACAGCTGGCTGTTTCTGGGAGTGGCATGAAGCCACATCAGGCAGCCTGCCTAAATGCCCCACTGCTCCAGGAGCTGCCTGTGGTGAGTGCCTTTTGGCCAGATCCGGCACTCCTCACCCTCTCCTGCACCTCAACACTCTGCACCAATCTGGAACTCCCTCCTACACCCAAGCTCCCTCTCCATTAATATAGTAGAAATGTGCAGCCCATGATGACTTAACAAAATTTGCCTAGTGGCTCCCCTGCAAAAATTATTGCCCATTCCTTTTATAAAAGTGACACACAATAATGTTCCAGTCTTTTAAGTCTGTCTTCCTATGGAATTTTTTTCCATTTTGTTATTCTCATTTATCTTTTCTTTTAAACAGGAAAATCTTGTATATGTATTTTTGTTGGACATTCCCATCTAAGTTCAGAACAAGATTATTCTAGTGTGCAATACGAAGTAACATACAGTTTTGCCTAATTTTCAAAGATAATACATCATAAAAATGACTCTGCAATAGTTAACTATTTCCTCATTCCCCTCCTTGCAGGTGTATGACAGAGTTGCAGATGAAGTGGTGTTATCAATGGACAAGCGGCTTGACAGACTAATATCTCACTGTGGCTCAGTGACTGGTTGTATTTTTGCTCTTTTTGCTGTATTAAGCTTCCTTTTCCTGGTATTTCTGAAATGGATGACTCCAGACTCCATTATTGATGTTGCAGTAGATGCCACAGGTCCCAATGGAGCATGGACTCGGCAGTATTTTGCTAGTAAAAAAGGAAGTGAGAAGAAGAGATTTCAAACTGTTAAAATGTTTTAAGTGGAGAGAAAGGGCAGTGCTGTCTAAAAGGTTTTCGGATTTGCTGATAGAATTAATTTCACAAAGAGACATTGTTTTTAAACTCAAAAACTTTCCTAAATTGTTGGAAAGAAATTTGGTAACATGTGCTACCTCAAGTTAGAATTGTACCAGTTAGTTCTGGGAAAAGACTTAAGCATATGCAGATTTATGGACACAGCTCTTTTGCAATTTATAGTTAAAACTGGGAGGAAAGTTGTAATATGTATAGCTAAACTGTACAACTATTTTAAGACACAAGAATACTCCAGTTTATCTGCTACCAGTGTATTACACAGAGAATAAGCATGGATTTGTCATAGCATTCAGGGTGCCAAAACACAAAATTAACTAGATTTAGATGGTTTTAACCAACTCCTAATATTTGTAGAGTGACCATATTTTCCCTAAGCCCAGTACGGGTCACCAAAGGGGGTGGGGGCGGGGGCGACTGCCAGCACTCGGGGCTTCAGCCCCATAGGATGGGGTGGGGGCTGAGCTCCGTAGCTGGAGCTATTCAGGAACAGGGCTTTAGCCTTACAGCAAGGGAAAAGGGGCTTCAGCCCCACGCTGAGCCCCGGGGCTGGGGGGAGTGCCTGACAACAGGGCTGATTGTCACTGGGGATGGGGGCTACTCAGGAACCGGGCTTGAGCCCCACAGCAGATGGGGGCCACCCAGGAACCAGGCTTGAGCCCTGCAGTGGCAAAGGCTTCAGCCCCGTGGGGAGGGCCACCTAGGAGCGGGGCTGTAGCCAGTGGTGGGAGTGCTTGAGAGAGGAGTTCCAGCCCGGAGTGGGGGCGCCAGCGGTCAGGGCTTCTGCCCCATGTTCCTGAAAGGATGGCAGACTTTCCCTCTCGCCCCCTTCTTTAGAGTGCACAGGGAGGGAAGACACTACACCTGGTTTCTCCCTTGGCACTCTGCCTGACTCCACACACCATGTGCTTTACCACCAGCCACAAATAGAGGCTGCTGGGCTGTGCTAGCTGGGGCACTCAAGGACGAGCAGGGGGCGTGCAAATATAGGACATTTTGCCCTTTTTTTTAAAAAAAATGGTGGGACGCTTGGGAGACAGCTTGAATACGGGGGCACTCCTGGTAAAAATGGGATGGATGGTCACCCTGAATATTTGTATTACTTTCCTGGAGACTCGTAAAAAATTGGCAAAATAAGAATAGATACCTAAATCAATCAAAAATGAAAAAGTGATATGTGAAATCACTTCTGTAAAAGCAAGCACATTACCATGTATACTTTCAACATTTGGTGTACTGCTAATCAGTCCTTGTCCTTCCCAACTGTGACCCTAAACAGACTCTTCTGGCTGCACAGAACTAATTTTGAAAGGGTTTAATGTGCTTTCTTAATGTAATCAGTATCTTTTAGAGAAGTGAACGGGTAACGGGTTAACTCTTACTGGGTGATGTGTACTGGGAACTGGTTAATTTGTATCTGAGAACAACACTTGCCCATGCCCTGCCATTAGCAGAGGACGGCTCTAGCCCTGTGGGGGTCGAGCGCCGACCCTCCCATCCTTGCATGGGGGGGACCCAGGAGCAGGAGCCAGTAGCTGGACTGGAACAGTCGTCCATGGGATCCTGCTTAATCAATGAACTGCTTAACTGATTAACCTGGATTTTACATCCCTAGTATCTTCCTGATATGTCAAAACTCCATTCTGGACTTTTAAAATATATTTTAGATAATGCTAAATGCTGCCTATTTTACTCTTTTATGTAAAAGTAAATTTTTATTTTGGTTTAAAGTATTCATTAAAGGGAGGAAGTTATTTTTTAGAAACCAGCATAATGCAAAGGCATAAGCTTCCAAGAATAGCACAGGCCTGCCAACTTGTCTAGTAGACCATACCAAAGTGTATGATAACGTCAGCTTGTGTGAGAGATATAGATAAGCATCTACTAAAGACTAGATAAAGATGACCAGCTTTTGTTTTTCAATTATGACATCATTTGCATTTGAATTCTTCTTTAGAAGAGAAAATATTCAACAGTAGTTATGCTACCTAGACTGCACCAAACCTAGTCTTAAATTAATCCAGCAAAAATGTTTTTCTAGAAAAACTTAATAGATCTGGCCAATAGATTTGTATACTCCCTGTAAGAAATGTGGCCCCTTGCAGTCACTGGTTCACTAGCCCTAATCTGAGTAGTACATCTATATCAATTAGAAAACAACTTTGAACACACAAGAAGTAAGAGAAGAGATTTCATATACCTGTCAAGCACTTCTCACACAACCTTATTTGCTGTATTCACTAGATTAATTTCTTGCCTATCTCGTTTTAAACTGTGCATAATGAAACACCTGATGTAATTGTATTCTAGATGTGCAATATGCAAGGTTATGTTTACAGAATTTTGCAAGATAATTTTAAACATGCAACCAGTCTGTTTTGTATAAGCATCTTTTTAAAATTTAAGTGTATTTTTTAACTGTGTTTAATTAAAAAGTATTTTAAAGAAGCACTGATGGGACTTTGAGAGGTACACTGTTTACAAAGTAAAATTCTCAGCTCGAGATATTTAATATACAATAAATATAATGTAAATTTGAACATTTTTAAAATGTTTAAAAAAGTAGATATTATAGTAGTGCTACTTTAAAATGTTTAAAAAAGTAGATATTAAATATAGTAGTGCTATAGGGATTGACAAAGTGAGTTAGAATTTGTAGGTAATACTTTATTAAGGAGAATTTCATAATTTTAAAAATCTGGTGCATAATTTTTTTTGTAAATACAACTTTTTAAAAATCATGGATACCATTTAGCTTAATTTTGCAATAAGTATTTTTGAAATGTTGTTGATTTCAATTTCTTTTATAACTTTAGGCTACGTCTAGACTGGCCACAAATTCTGGAAAAGGAATGCAAATCAGGTAAGTCAGCATAGGGAAATCCACGGGGGATTTAAATATCTCCCGCGGATTTAAATAAACTTGGGGAAAAGCCGGAAAAAAAGCGTCTAGACTGGCGCGATCCTCTGTAATAAAGCCCTTTTCCGGAGGATCTCTTATTCCTACTTTCCCTATGCTGACTTACCTGATTTGCATCCCTTTTCCGGAATTTGTGGCCAGTCTAGACGTAGCCTTACTGTTTTGATTGCCAATAGTATATAGGGACTCATGTAAAATACACACAACTCAAATGTGGAATAGGAGAACTCTATCTATAATACTCTGGCACAAGAAAGATTATACAGGGCATGCCTGAATAATACAATAAGGCCTTCTCTCAAGCTTGTGTAACTTACAGGTTATGTATGTCTTTGGTATCTTACGATAAAATACTGATATCTTTAGTTATTATGTGCATACCCACATACTAGCCACATATATGGAAACTTTTTGCACAGATGCTGCTGCTCACCATTCTGACAATGTAAATGGAACTTACTATGGTAAATGATGTGTAAAAGAGAAGGGTGTTGGCCTGTTGCAGATGAAATTCAACTTACAATTGTAGTTAAACCAGTTATCTCAAACACTGTAATTTATAATATCCGTAGTTTGCTTCATCCCTCTCTCCGTTTGCTGTTTTCAGACACTATGGCCTTGACCCTGTCAACATATCCTTGAGTAGTTCCAGTGAAATCACTAGGATTCCTCTTCTATGTAAAATTATTTATGTAAATATTTGCAGTTTTGGGCCCTAAAATTGCAATGTGGAAGTTAGATGACTAAAAGCGTGCAGAATGATATTATTGTCCAGCTATCCCAAAAAAGTGCAGGAGACACTTGATATGGTTTTTATTAGGCTGCATCTTCATTGTTAGATGTTCAGGACTATCTAGCAGATAAAGGTGTACAGTGCAAGTAATCCCATGTTCATTCAGTATGTACCCAAGGGTTTCTGCCAGCCCCATTCTTTTTCCATCAGGGCCCCCAGCCAACCTTACCATCTCTCTCCCACTTGAATGATGGTTAAGATGGGCTTTAAGAAAGTGTCCTTTAACCAACACATCTTTAAAAACTTTTTACAAAGCTCTTTATCTGATCACCATACCTTCCCTAGTGAGTACCAACATTGAACAGGTATGCAAGTTAGATGAATAAAAGTGTGCAGAGTGGTGTCACTCCTTTCACAGTCAGTGGGTGATTCAGAAGACAGCAGTGGACAAAAATGGAGAAAGGAGAGGAGGCAGAGAGATCTCTAGAGGCATAGAATATTTGTGGGAGTTATAGAGGCATAGAACATTTCAGGAACAAAGTACAGAAAGCCATGCAGAGTTCATGGATAAATGCTAGTATCATAGTAAACACATAATGCTTTTAAAAAAATCAAGATACAATTGTGAAAAGTATTTTCCACTTTTACCAATAATATCAATTAAGTGTTACCAGCAGTGAATCAAACCAACTGAAAAAATGTGTCCTAAATGAAGCAAAGTCTGAAACAAACCTTTTGAATAAAGGATTATAGAAGTCATTTCCTCCTTTATGGAGTGGGTCATCTTGAAAACTAGAGTAGTTTGACCTATTTCCTTATTTCAAAGATGATGGAAATCTTAAACTGATTCGAATTCCATAGCATGTGAGACCTGCCTCTTGTGCCTAGACACTATGTGCAGACACTGTGAACATGTATAACAGCTTGTTTCTAATGTAAAATAATCTGTTAAAATCAGAACAAGTAATAAGTGAAGTACGAATGCCTGCATACTGTGTGATGTCATTCAAATGCTTTTTAAGCATCTGGATAGCTCTATAATGGTATATCAAACTGTAATGTTTAACCATTTTTTGTGCTCAAGGCTTTCTGTATAAATAAATTTATTTTCCTTTTGATATTTCTTGTACTGTTTGGTTACTGTTTAACCGTTCATCCATGCCTGGACTTTTAAAGATTTGTCTACTCCAATAAAATACAGGCTTGCCACCTTTACTAAATCCTGTCTACCCCTGCAATACTACAGCAGAATTTCAAAGGGATAAGGGGGAATGCTAGATACTAAGCATAGAATATCTATAGCTCTGACTAGTCTCAAAACTATGCTTTTTACTTGATGTGCCAGGTATGCATGTTATGCCTTTGTTCTACTAAAGAAAGACTGTTTCAGCTGCCAGCTTACTTATTCGTTTTATCCTCTCCTAAGTTGTTCTAGGTCCGGAACATAGAGAAGATATGAGCCCTATTACAAATATGTTACAGGCTAAGTCCCTGATTTTGTGAACACTTGTGCACGAGTCAGTGGGATGACATTTGTGCATAAATGTAAGTATGTATACGTGTGTTTAAACCAGAGTTCATAACATAGAAAATTAATACAGGCAGTCCCCGGGTTACGTACAAGATAGGGACTGTAGGTTTGTTCTTAAGTTGAATCTGTATGTAAGTCGGAACTGGCTTCAAGATTCAGCCGCTGCTGAAACTGACCGCCAGTTCTGACTTACATACAGATTCAATTTAAGAACCCCAAGCTTCCCCAAGTCAGCTGCTGCTGAAACTGATCAGCAGCTGATTCCAGGAAGCCTGGGGCAGAGCAACTCTGCCTCGGGCTTCCTGTAGTCAGCGCTGGTCAGTTTCA